GCTACCAGAGCTCCTTTAACTAGAATTAGTGGGTATAAAATATGAGGACTTCCTGTTAGCTTTACCTAGGGAAGACCCAGCACCTCACATACAAATAGATAGGAAGGACCATATTCAATAGTGGTGTTTGGCTTTGGTTGGCTGGAAGAATGGGAGGGAATAAGTTGAAGGCCCCACATTTCACTCATTACACAAAATGGTGTCCAGATTGGGCTATTGGCTTATTGTATCTAACACTGCTGTCCGTAAACTCCTAGTGGACCATGATCACCGTCTTCCATGATGTCAGCCTCACAGGAATGTGCTGCCATTGAGCAGTCAGAGGCCATGTAATCCATGACTCTGTGTAAGCGCTTCATGAATTGTCTTTGTGGTGCTTCCTCTTAAAACATGGGCATCATAATTATTTGTAACTTGTTACAAAAGCATTTGAATTCTGTATTGGTTTCCAAATTTAGGTTTAGTGTTATGCCCTGATCAAGGTTGGTAAAATTATATTTTTTAGTTGCTTTCCTTTTCAAAATTTAAGATGATAAGCCCAATAAAAGTTTGGGGTTGGGTTATATATTGAAGTGTCAGGAATCATTTCTTAGAAACTGTAAAGTTACCTTTTTTTAACGTTCTGAATTCTTGATTTGATAAGTGCTGTTGCGTCGGTTTCTGTATAGGGTTTCTGAGGAGTGGCTGGTGAGTTTGAATTGCCAACCATGTGGTTCAAACTGACCTTGTGGTCTAGTGTATTATCCTACAGCGCCACACCAGGACGCCTTGATTCTTTCTACTTTTCTTGGTAACATCCTACTTTTTTACCTCTGTATCACCAGGTAGTGCTGTCTTATAATTGCAGTCTTTCTAGAAAGGAGTTAACTTTTTTCAGTCCTGGTGTGGTGCTATGGGTTAATGCACTGGACTGCAAGGCCAGTTTGAACCGCAAGGTCTGCAGTTCAAATTCAGCAGCCGCTCCTTGGGAACCGTATACAAGTTTGCTGTAAGTTGGAACCCATGGCACTGAATAACAACAACTAAGGGAGTTGCC